CGCGCTGTGCAAGAGAGGGGTGTGATCAGCGCGGACACGAGCGTGATTGACACTGCTAAGACACTCCTCTCGGCTCTGATTGGTTGTTTCTGACCGGGAGCGTGTATTTCTTGCAAATGGCAATAGGACCACTGGGAGGAGCCAGAGGAGCTTGATTTTTACACAGATTATCTGTCTCATATTCTACTGTCAGGACATAATGACAGTTTTAGCAAATACATGTTTTAAAAAGTTACCTACAGGAGCTTTAATTGTTGATAATTTAATCAATAAAACTCGATGGTAGAACAAGCAAGATGTGATCCCGGAAGTTCCCTGTCAGGTCGAAGTTAGTCGCGGACGCTAGCTTTCGGCATCTCGAAAATGATATTGATCCTCAGTTTAGTCCTCTTTTTGTCTCAAAGTCTGCTTGCCATGGTCCAAAATGTTTGAACAAAACAACAACAGCGTGAGCGTTCCGCTAGGCGTAACCAGTAACCCAGTTGTCCACGTCTGTCGCCATGGTTACTATGGCAGTACGAGCGGAAACCGAGGGTAACGAGGATATGATGTCATTGACTGGCGACTCCTCACCCCTGCTCACACGTCCCGTTTCCTTGGTTAAAATCGCAATTTTCTCACGATTTACAAATAGTTGGAAACATTTGGGATATTGTAAGTAATCAACTAAACTAAATATCTAACACTGGCCTAGTGGTTTTTGGATATTTTACTGCAAAATAATTCTGACATAGTGCACCTTTAAATTATCGTTAATTTAAACAATGATTGATTATGGGAATTTATGTAAATTGACATCCCTATTCATCATCATCATCATCCCAACATTCAGTCTCCAGGATCCAGAGATGGGACCAAGTCACACATGTGCAAGTCTCAAGTAAGTCTCAAGTCTTAAAATCCCCGTGAACCGGAAGTTGCAAACGACTTTTCTCCAGTGTTGTGACGTATTTCCGAGAGAAACGGAATACTAAATGAGGCAAAATAGTGGGCGTGGCTTTTTCCCAACTAGCACCTGATTGGATCTAGAAAAGTAGGTGTTTTCATTCAGCCTGTCTACTGTCAGTTGGAGGGGCGTGATTACGGATGTTAAAGGGTAACTAAACACCAAAACAACTTTTTTTTAGTTAATGATCTCTAAGAATGGAGCTTCATAAATGCTGTTCTTTGATTCGAGTACATTTTTTGACAATTGGGTATAAAGTAGGGATGTGCACGAATATTCGAATTTTCGAATATTCGATCTGTAATTATTATTCGAAAAATAAAATACTATTTGAATTTTATCGAATTTATGAAGCCGTAGCCTAAATGCTTTGCTGGCCGTAAATGCAGTGAATCCCTGATAAATCCCAAGCACTAACTCGCAGTTATAACTAAATCCTCTGGGTGGCGCTGTGGTGCGTGTTTAACAAGTTGTTTGTATTTGATCACATAATGTCGTCGTCTGCCTCGCGAAGTTTGGAATTAGACTACTAGTTGAAAATTATGTTACTAAATGATCTTACAGAAGGGAATTACTTTTGATCAAATGAATTAATTAATCTGAGTTATAATATCATCAACACAATGAGAAATCACATGAAATCCAAACAGCAGGCGACTGAGGAAAGACAGCTGTCCATCACTACGACTGCAGGTAAGCGCAGCTGTAGCGCGCGTGATCCGAGAGATGATAACTTATCTAATAGCAAAATTATTTTTTTAGACATATACTTCCCTTAAGTTTCATTGAGAGAGACAGGTTTAAGAACAGAAAACGCAAATTGCTGTTAGAAACTTAGAACACCGTGACCGTTTGTGTCTCTGAATCGTCTGTCAGTGCAGCGCGTTTTCTCACTCGAGCATAAATTGCTGGCGGCGTCCCTGCATGTGGACATTATTGTTTTTCTCAACATAAACGTGAAACAATATACACGATAATCATGCTGACTCGAGTGTGTGTGTACGTTCTGTTCGATATCTGGCGCAGTCTACTTTATTAGGCGTTTTTTTCCCGCTCGCGCTGCTTGAGCTTAAATCCTTTTGTTATTTATATTTTGTTAACACATAGGCCAACTGTTTAATGTTTTCAACTAAAAGAAAACTTTAACATATATTGTAAGCTTGTTGTGTATTGCCTAATCGTAAGCTTGTTAAGAAATGGTGACAAAAACTTTTTGAAAAATGTACTTAAGAAATAACGTCGTTTTCGTTAAATGTCATTTAAATAGGCTAAACGAATATTCGAATATTCGATTTCTATGAGCCCGAATATTCGAATGCATTATTTTTGAAAAATGCCCATCCCTAGTATAAAGTGTTTTAATTGTCAAATATATGGTGTAAAAACGTCTGAGTGCTGCCCTCTTTAGGTTAAACGGAAAGCTCCTGCAGTAGGGGTACTTTCTGACGTGACGTCACTCTGTCACGCCCTTGATGCGAGCTCACCACGCCCTTGGCAGCCCCTGGTATAAAAGCATCTGGTTCCGTCAAAACTACTGTAGCGAGTCAGGAGTTGGATTTATGACTATTGAAAACGATCAGGATAGCATATATTAGCATCTAGTTAGCATAGCATTTATATAGTTATTTCGATTATTTCGTATAGCCTAGGTAGTTAATTAGCATAGTTGTTAGTATATTGTTAGAAGCATAGTTAGTTAGTAGCATAGTATTGCATCAGTTAGAATAGCGTAGATTTTTAGCATTAGCTTTATCTGTATTTAGTACAGTGGTCAGGATGGTATGTAGGTGTAGTGTTGCTGGTTGCAACAGCACTGCTGGACTGCATAACTTTCCACTAGACTTGGAAATTAGGCGCCAGTGGTTGCATGCAAGTGTGAGTGTGCAACCTGCATTTTACGCGGGATTGCTTCTCCAACGCAATGGAGGTGGAAATGGGCTTCTCCACACAGCTCGCGCTGAGAAGCGACGCAGTGCCATACGCTGCTCGTCCTGCATGGACTCCACCACCGCAGCGGCGTCATGATGTGAGTGAGCATATATTTTTAATCACAATTTACAAACGCGCCGGCGCGATTGGCTGGATATTTTTTTCCACATAGCAGTAAAATATACTGAACGTAATAGTAATAATAATCCTGGAAAAATTACCTCAAACTGACTGAATATAAAAAACTTTTTTTTTTAGCATACAATGACCAGAGAAATTGGGTGCCAGACTGAACCAGTCATCTCCAGATCTGCAGGTGTGCAGGCTAACGTGAAGCCCATGAGGAGAAGCAAAGGTGATTTTAAATACTATATGGAGCTTTTGTATGTCTCATCATATAGTCAAGATTATATAATTTTGTTTTGTATTTTTGCTGCTTATTGATAATAAATCTATTATTAATTTGTGCAGCCACCCAGGCCAGAATGCCTATCAGGAGTGTGTCGTGTGACACAGGCACACTGATGGAGCCTTTCACAGAGTGTCCCGGGGCAACCTCGACACCAATAAAGAGGAAAAGATGTGAGGTGTCCACTGATGACTCCAGCTACCATCAAGATGGAAGTGAGAGCACCATAAACTGTACAAGGTAACTTAATGCGTTTAGTCCCGTTAGGTTTTTCAGTTAGGCTATATTTGAATGGTCTAATTTAGCTATTATTTGTTTTTAAATACTTTTGATTGATTGTCATTAAGTTATTTCTGATACATACACATTACATAACCAAATTATGATTATTTATGCTTTTATTTAAATTTGTTTTAACTTTTTTTTCTTTTACAGAGTCTTTAATGAAGTATTACCCCACAAAGTGACTAAGTACATTGTTTATGAAGATAAACTGCTGGAGCTTTTTAGAAGATGCCCTGTCTGCACCCGGAGTTTGTTTGTTTCACAAACAACCATTGGGACACTTCTCCGTGTCAAACAGCACTGCGATTACTGTGAGTACTCCAGTGATTGGTCGAGCCAGCCAATGGTAAACAAGAAGACGGCAAGACGCCCAAACCGTGAAACCTACGTCATCAGGGAAGGTCCTCCAACGCAGAGGGGAGGGGAAATTTCCATAGACAGTATAAGAAATGGACAGAGCGATCTCATTGGAACTCAGTTGAGACAGTTGAAGCCCATTTTTAGCGATTTTTGAGAACTTCCGTTCCTGACGCGCCGACTCAGACCGACTCAAACTAAGCTTGATGACGTGAGCAACCTGTCTGACAGACGTAAATCTTCTAGTAGCTGTGCGTGAAAACTGCCAACGTTAATCTTGCAGAGACGGGGAACTTGAGCAAAGAGTTCTTTGGCGTGAGTGAGCAGGAGTAAGTATTCCGTTGCTTTTATGGACTCATTATCTATGGGCTTCTCCCTTGACGGGACGTCCCCCCGATTGCCCGTGAGCTTCTCCTCCTGTCTGTACGGTAACTTCTGTACAGCGCGACAGAGAGTCGAGTGGTTATGACGCAATCGTTAGCCTATTTTTTACTAAATCTGTTTCTACGGGGCCATAGTGTAACATAGAAGGTAATGGAGCCCTTTATACATTGTCGTGTTTCTTTAGAAATAAATAATGGACAAATGGAGTCTTTAAACGCCTCAGATGTAAAGTTATTCGCTGTCAAAGTGACGCCAAAATGAATGGGAGTCAATGGAAATGCTAACGCAAGTGAAGTTCTGCTACAAGATGGCGGCACCCGGCCGGCTTCAACTTCCGGTCGATGGATTACCCCCTTGGAAATTTCAGATTTTGATTAAAGATTACAAAGCCAAAAAATTTTTTTGTGTGGATTGATTTGCATGGATGAATTGTTCACCACAAAACGATCAATTTAGGCAAACAAAGTAAGCATGGTCAATTTTGAATTCATGGGGACTTTAACCTTCAAGTCTCAAGTAAGTCCCAAGTATGTTTTTCCTGGGCAAGTCAAGTCAAGTCAAGTCACAGGCTATGTCAAGTCAATTCAAGTCAAGTCCTGTAGTAGGTCAAGTCAAGTCCAAGTCAAGTCACCTTATTATTGTAATTTTACCTGCAGAATTTGATCTATGGGCGTCAGTTTGGTTTGAAATGAACAGAGGCGCATTCGGAAGTGCATTTGGGTACAATGACGCATTCATGCCGCCCATTCGCACATACAGCTCAACTAACGCGATCGTTATACAGGTGTTTAAACAACAAAACACATCCACTTCCACATATTTGACAATCGGAATATCAGTGTTTCATGTTATAGCTAATACATTTGTGAACATTTTGAATAAAACAGGAAAAATGACATAAAAGCAGATCATCATTCATTCAGCGCTGTGTTGTGTTTGTGCTGTGTCACGTGACAAGCAATGACGCGTCACCATGGAAACATTAAAGTGAGTGACAGGTTCTAAATAACGGTCGCCTAGAAAAACTTACGCTGGGGGATCAGTTAGAATAGTTTAACCTTACTTGTGAAAGGGTTAATGGCTACTTTAGCTATTATTACATTAGCTAACTACCAACTAACCAGATAACATTAACAAATTGACAAGCACTTACTGGGCAGAATGGCTCTTCAAATGACGGACGAAATTGGAGGTTGTCGTCTGGCTGTCCGCGATCTTAATGTTGCATGTCTTGCAAAGCGCTGTTCGTCTTTTGCCATCTTGTGAATAATTCTTGAAGCTGAAAGCGATGACCCTCGGTACCCCTCCGGCTGACATTTTGATGTGATATCTAAGTGGGCGTGGTGTGCGTAAGGTACGAGAGGGCATGACTGATGATGGTGTCGTGATCCAGTCATGACAACGCTATTCTCAGCCTGCGCTCCAGCTGGATCAACTTATTAAAAGAAATTTGTATATATATTTTATATTCAAACTGAAAACATGATGTGATTAACACTCAAGTCAAGTCATTCAAGTCATCGTGTCTCAAGTCAAGTCAAGTCCCGAGTCTTTAACTTCCAAGTCCGAGTCAAGTCTCAAGTATTTCATTTTATGTCAAGTCAAGTCACAAGTCATAAAAATAGCGACTCGAGTCCAAGTCACCAAGTCTCAAGTCCCCATGTCTGCCAGGATCCCACACTGACCGTAGCAGGAGTGTCCGTCTCCGCTGTATCCCTGAAGACACTGACAGAAATACGACCCGATGATGTTCCCGCAGCGAGCGTTGCCGTCACAGCCGTGATCTCCGCTCAAACACTCGTTTACATCTGCGTCAACACATCAGTGACACATTCAGTGCTAGTTTATATCACTGACATTCTCTCAGCTCTAATATTGATGATGTAGTCAATCATTTTATCCCTTAAAACTCATCTTTGATCACCAAAATGACATATTTAAATGCTTTTTCCTGTGAAAACAATTCTTCATGCCTTAAAGGGATACTCCACTTTTTTTGGAAATAGGCTCATTTTACAACTCCCCCAGAGTTAAACTGTTGAGTTTTACCGTTTTTGAATCCATTCAGCCGATCTCTGGTTCTGGCGGTACCACTTTTAGCATAGCTTAGCATACATCATTGAAGTGGACAAGACCATTAGCATTTCTAAAGAAAAATGACCAAAGAGTTTTGATATTTTTCCTATTTAAAACTTGACTCTTCTGTAGTTACATCGTGCACTAAGACCGACGGAAAATGAAAAGTTGCGATTTTCTAGGCTGATATGGCTAGGAACTATACTCTCATTCCTGCGTAATAATCAAGAAACTTCAATGCCGTACCATGAGAGCAGCAGGCGTAATGATATGACGCAGCGCCTGAAAATAGTTCCGTTGTGTTGACGGAAGGTGGCCTATTTTCAGGCGCTGCGTCATATCATTACGCCTGCTGCTCTCATGGTACGGCATTGAAGTTTCTTGATTATTACGCAGGAATGAGAGTATAGTTCCTAGCCATATCAGCCTGGAAAATCGCAACTTTTCATTTTCCGTCGGTCTTAGTGCACGATGTAACTACAGAAGAGTCAAGTTTTAAATAGGAAAAATATCAAAACTCTTTGGTCATTTTTCTTTAGAAATGCTAATGGTCTTGTCCACTTCAATGATGTATGCTAAGCTATGCTAAAAGTGGTACCGCCAGAACCGGAGATCGGCTGAATGGATTCAAAAACGGTAAAAACTCAACAGTTTAACTCTGGGGGAGTTGTAAAATGAGCCTATTTCCAAAAAAAGTGGAGTATCCCTTTAAAATATCTTGAATGTAACTCGACACCCTTGCCTCAGTTAGTATACGCGGTTCTATGAACAGCTCCAACATTTGATGATGCATTAACTAACATGAACACTGAGCGATATATTTGGTAACACTTTATTTTACAGTGTCCTTGTTACTGTACATGTACTTACCATAGTAATAAGAGTAAATTATGCATAATTACATGCAACTAACCCTCAACCAAATCCTAATCCTACTCTAACCCTATAGTAAGTACATGTGGTTAATTATTATTACTCAGTACTTAAATGTATAATTACACTGTAACAATGACACCTTAAAATAACGTGTAACCATATATTGTACAGCATTTATTAACCTTTATTATTGTTAGTTAATAAAATGGTTAATGTTCATGTTAGTTCACAGTGCATT